CCGTGAGGGGCACACACTCCCTGTTGCATCCTTAGGGCGGGCTCTGGCGACACTTGCGTTGTCTCCATGAAGGAAACTTGCGGTCTGTCAGGACACGTGTGCACCGTCGTTTTGGCTGCCTCCCCCTTCAGCACAGTCACTCTGGGAAGATGTTTCCCAGGAAAGCCACGAAAGCCCGTTCCGAAGATGGGCCATAAGAGATAAGGTGTAAGGTGAGGCAGTGCAGGGGTGACGGGCGGCTCTGCGTTCCACACCGCGCTGCGGGAACCGCCAGCAGCTGCGCTCCCCAAAAGCCTCGGGCATGATAATAAGATGATGCTTGTATATAATATATCCCTGAAAGTGCCCCGGCCAAAAACCAGGGGCTGCAGGGACGTGTAGCGCCGGTGCTCTGCGGGGAAGCAAGCGGGGAGCAGGGGACGGGGCAGGAGCGGGCCCGGCGGGGTCCCCTGACCCTGGCAGGGAGGAGGAGGAGGGTCCGGGGTCAGGGAGGGGAAGGCAGCTCTGAGGGAAGATGCCCCAGCTCCTGCACATCCGAGCCAAGGAGGAGTTGTCGCATGGAAATCCAAGGAGGAGTTCTCGCATGGAAATCCTGTAACAGCGGCTGTGACTGTGCTCCCACCACGGGCAGACGGCATTGCCATTTTACATCATGTGTTACAGCAGTGGGATAGATTATATACTGCTGCTAGTGATCACTATATCAATAATATGCTTCTAAACAAATACTAGAGTGAAGTTTTTGTTTTAAAACACTTTCATGGATGAAAAGCCTCAGCCGTGGTGTGACTTGAAAGTTTCTGCTTCTCTCACCTCCCTTTCAACATTTCAGAGGAAAACCTGAGAGATGGAAGAGAGAACTGTCCAATTGGAAAGACAAGGCATTTCACAGGGTGAGCAATTTTTATCTTAATTCATAAAGATGGCTTTAAAAAAGAGATGGAAAGATCATCTCAGGCTATTTTTGCTTTTTAATAATACTGAAAAACTTTTATTTAATCTGATTTTTATGATGATAATATGGGAATATATTTTTTTCCAGAGAGAGGAAAGAAGAAGAAATTCCAAAGGTAGTCTCAAGAGCCAGGGGGGTGAGTAGAAATAAGAACAAGTTTCTTTAGACTATAGAGAGGCTTGATTTTTTAAACTTTTACAGCAACAACATTAATAATTTACATATTTAATTTTTTTTTACTAATTTCTATCTATAAAAAGACCTTTGATGAAGACCCAGTATCTTTCCTTTTTTATTAGCCTTAACATTCACCAAGAATATTTTGTTTGTCTAGAGGAACCTTCCTTCAAAATTGTAAGAAAAAATATTGTGCCATCTTGATATTTTTAGGGTAAAAATGAAAACATAAGAATCAAAAATGTCTCACAGGACTTTTATTACATGAGAAAGTTGTGAGTAGAGTATATGTGAAACTTACTGATGATAGTTTTTGTACTGCTTTAAAATTACCTGAAGCAATACCTCAATTTTTACACCATAAGCAGAACCAGAGCTCTGAATTTTACTGGGAGGATAATGGCTTTGTGACCTGCCCAGGTGAGGTTAGCAAAGGTCAGCACTCAGTGACATGCTCCCCTCTGCAGCCACTGACCTGTGCTGCTCACCTCCTATTAGAAGAAATAAAAGTTTTTCTGTATGTGTCTGAGGATAAAACCTAAAAGAGCCTGTTTTTTTCTTGCTGTGTGTCAAATCATTACTTTTATTTGGAAACCAGGTACTTTACTAACATCTTTGCTCATGTGAAATGAATTGGTCAGCCAATGTGTAATGATTTTGCCCTTTCATCTGGGAAAAACAAACAAATTAAAGCTGGCAGCAAGAGCTACCTTCCACTTACTGTGCAGTGGACTGTGATGTGCAAGAGCCATCAGCGCTGAGATAGATAAACAGCAAAACTTCCTTTTTACTGAGGAAATGCAAGCTGTCCAAGTGTCTAATTGAGTTACTGAGCCACTCCATGATTCCACTCTCTATGTGTGTGGCCTCTAACTGACAGGAAAAACACTTTGTAATGCTCTTGTCAAAATATAACCTTTCCAGCAGAAGAACAGCACTATTTGCACTTGGCTAAGGGAATTGATCTGCTTTATGGTCTTTTTTCTCTGCTGCAGGAGCTGACTGGTATGCATCCAAAGGGTTGAGTCAGTATTATACAGAGTCCCCCCTCAGCTTTCAAAACCTGTTGTTTTGTCATGGTTTAACCATCTGGTCTGGTGCTCTGTAGGATAACCCCAAACCAGCCTCTGGTTCAGGTACTCAAATGCTGCCCCTGTCGTTGCTCCCTCATAACTTTTCTTCATCATAAAGTAAAAATAGAGAAAATTCAGATTTAGTATGTTTGTTGCCATGGCTTGTGGGCAGAAACAGAGGAAGCAAAAGGCCACCTTTCTTTTCCTTCCCTTTGTGTCTCACACATGGACTCATCTGACCCAAGGGAGGATCCTGTATTTCTGCAGCTCGGTGTTCCTAGGAAGGACTCTGATGATGAAAAAGTAAGTCCTCTTCTATAACATATGGTAACTGTGCCAGTGACAGCAAGGGTGGATCTACAAAATCTCAGAAGGAATGTTGGTGTGCCTGGAAAACCATTAGGTCAGCCACCTCTACAGGAGGGTGTGGCTAGGTACAGCTCATCAGATGAAAATCATCCCAGCTCTGGGAACCTCATTGGGATCCCTCCTGGGACAAGGCCTGAGTCTGCTCCCATGGCTTTCCTGCCCTCCTCCTTTCCCCCTGGCCCCATGTCCACTTGGTGGTGCAAAGGGAAACCAGACACAGGCAGTGCTGGAGCCACAGGGCAGTTCAATGGCAGGCCAGTGCAGACAACAGGCATGAGCACCAGCAAGTGAGCCTGAATGCTGCATGGATTGGAGCTCTTTCCTAAACCACCAGGAGAATAAATATAATGTAAAGCCATTGTCAGAAACTGATATGTTAGAGGTTAATGACTCAAAATAATCAGCCACTTGTGGAGGCAGCAGGGTGCTTTACTGAGGCAGGGTTTGCACCCCTGGCCAAGGGGAGGAGGGAGGGTAAAGGGGCACCCAGCAGCAACTGTGGCTCATGTTGAGAAAAAGCCTGCTGTGCAACTGGATAGATAAGGCAGATATTTACTCATAAGATCTAAGAAAAAGAATTAAGTAGAGGATCAAGGCATAAGGGTCAGAAGAAAAACAATGTGAAAGCACAGTGTACTTTTATTCTTTATATTTGCAACATTCCCACAAAAAAAAAAGGTAGAAGAAAACTGCTATTGTTAGTCTGCAGCTAAAATGATTTAATAATGTCCTTGTTCTGGTCAGGACAGGGTCAATTTTTTGCAGTAGCTGGGAGGAGGCATGGCTAGGGCACTGAGGTTTTTCTGAGCCACCTCATGCCATTGCTGGGGAAAGTGACACTCTCTTTTTCAAGGAGAGGGGATTCCTTCATATTGAGAAAACATAGTGTATTCTATTACTGGGGCTTTTTTCCTCCGTGTGAGTAGTTTCTTTTCTTATAATCTCTGTCATTAGTATTGTTGCTGTTTCTGCTCATTTTCTTATCTCATCTCTTTTTCCAGTAAATTGTTCTTACCTTAACCCATGACCTTTGCCTTTTGTGCTTCCAATTCTCAATGCCACCCCAGTGAATTGGGAAGGGGAAGGGAGGAAGGGCAAAGGGGAATGGGTGTGTGGTTTTGGAGAGCCTTGGAGGGGACAGTAAATTGGAAGTACTGTTTCCAAACCTGACAGATATTAATCCAGACCCAAAGAAGTTCAGTTCACGCTACCTGCCATGCTCAGGTATAAGCAATAGTCCTGAGCAGTCCATCCATCCCTGCTCTGTTCCCCCTAAGAGGGAGAATCATAAGGTTATTTGTATTGCAAAGCTAGTCACTCATTGTTCATCAGGCCTGGAAGAACAGTTTCCCACACAGCTGAAGATGGGGAATGAGGGTCCCAAAAAGAGTTAATTCCAGTCTTCAGGGTCCTGGTTCTTTAAGAGCTCAGAAGGAGCCATTGACTACAGAGTACTTTTAGGTAGGAGTCTGGTTAATTTATTCAAAGTCTTGAGGCTGGTTGAAGTGTGTAAATAACTACAGTTTCTTCCATGTGTATGTGCCCTCCTGCCAAATGGCAACCTATATGTAACTTATTTTGTTACTGTGGCTGTCACTGAGAAAAAGTGACAAAAAAGGCCAAAAGCCTTGTGCCTCATTCCTGGGAAATGAGGCACAAGAAATGAGCACATACACACTGATAACAAACAGTACAGCAATCTGGGAGAGTGTCTGAGACCTGTGACACGGAGTCCTGGTTTTCACTTTGGCAAAACCTCCGTGCCTGAGCTCTGCTTTAGGTGTCCAAATATTTAACTATGTGTTGGCCATTGTCCTTCCTGTTCAACTGGCTTTAATTGTATGAATCCAATAAAAAGATCATGGATCTGATAAGATTATCTCAAACTCATTTCTGTAGCTAGATTTGAGATTTTTTTAAAAGAAAAACTGTATTATTCCAATAGTTTTTTGAACTGAAGAATTTTCTCCCTACCTCCCTACCTTTCCCAGGCCGATCCTCAGATATATATCTCCCATGAAACAGTACCTCATGAGATGATTCCAGCTCTTTCCTTTGCTTTTCAGTTTGAAAATCCTTGTCAGTTGTTGAAATTCTGCTTTCTGAAATGACCTCCTGGCTTACAGCAATTCAGTGATTTCACCTCTTGCAGCCATGCTGACAGCTCAGAACATGCAGGCAAGCCCCTCTCCCCAGCCTGGCAGTGCTCACAGCCTAGTGGAACATCTCCTGCTGCTTCCTACCTCAGGGAAAGCAAAGGGCTCTTCAAGGCCTTTTGGACTGATGTTTTGATCATATTGCTACAACTGTAGATGAGACTCTGTCTTGCTTTCAGTGGAACTTTGGGGGGGAGCTGAATTCTTGCAGAAAGAGCAAACATGTCACCATCTATTTTAGAAAAAGTCTCTAGCAATTTTATATTGCCAGAGAATTCAGTGCCAAGTACTGTCTCCTCTCCAGCTGTTATTGTGCTCAGTCCTAGGCTAAGGAGAAAAATGCAAATAAATGTAAAAGCAGGAAAGAGAGATGTGATTTTATCTGTTCTTGATTTTAACAATAATTAATAGTTAAATATTTAATATAAGAATTAATAACTGTCTACTTGAAATAAGGAATCCCTTCTGCTATTTTACAGAACCAAAAGCATTAATCCAAACAGAGCATAACTTTGGAGACATTTCTATCCAAATGCAACTCTGCATGAGAAACTGAAATAATTTCTGGGTATGAATGTTGAAGTTTCAGCTTGCTTCTCAACATTGTGCTTATTTGGAGAAATTCTACTTAAAATACTCCCAGAGAATTTCTACTTACAGATGGGATTTGAGATGGAGCATAACAGTAAGTGATTTGGACAGACATATCCCACTAATCCCATTATTCTGGTGCCAGACTTGTGGGCCTGGTTCAATGCCCCAGTGCTAGCCCAACTCAAAGACAAGATTTTAGGATGTGTATTCTCTACCAAAGCCAAAACACAACCATAAAAGGATACAATAAATGACAGGACATTCTATGTGTTTCACTGAGAGAGGTTTTTTTTTTAACTTTCAGAGACTGATTGTACAAATCACTTACTTACTAGGATATTCCTTATAAATATTACTCCAGGCATAGCAAGAACAGTCATATGCATTTCCTAGTTACTTACATAAGGAAGGCTGTCAACTCAAATAAAATAATGTTAATTAAAGTTTCAGATCTTACTTTAAAAAAAACACAGGCTTCTGTGAGTCTCCTGTCCAAATCAGAGAACAGTTTAATGTAGCAAATTTTGAAAGACCAGTTTTTCATTTGAATGCTAATCAGGAATTCTGATTTACTACAGAACTGAATAATAAAGTTTTTACTACAGAACTGAATAATGAAGTTATTAGTTTTCTTCTCTTTGGATATAGATTAGATGACTAGATTTAGATATTTCTGGAGCATATCTATATCATCCATATCTATCTATAGATACATATCACTATTTAGATGACTTTATGTTTACATTTCCATCATTCTTCCATAAAGGGACCTCCCAAAATCCCTGACACTTGTGAAAATTATTGACAAACATGGCAGCACATAGACAGAAAGTAAGTATTTTTATTGCAGATGTTTCTAGAAATCTTAACCAGGGAATATCAGTCTGTTATACTGGATGCTTAACAGCTGCAAGACAAATGGCAAAACTCACTGGTGAATAATATCAATCACATAATTTTTGTTTAGAAGATCCATTACAGAGATGTAATGAAATTCCTCCTCCCTGCATAGTTTTTGATATACGTCTGCTTCTCTTTACCTCAAATAATGTTCTCAGTAGTTAAGGGACAATAAAAGCAAATATCCTGCAGACAGTACTCCTATACTGTCCAGTCCCTTGTGACATGCCTTCAGAGCAGTGAATCTGAAACCTACAAATCCATATCACTTACTGTATTGTGTCATGGAGTGCATTCATTGCCCTGTGGTTGTGCCATAAAATGGCTGTTTTCAAAAGGTCATCTGTATGTGACATCTAATTAGGGATTGTTCTCAAACTCCTTTGCTATTCAAAAATTGAAATTGGTTGTAAATTGAATTGTAGGATAGACAGGCTTTGTTGGTATTAAAGAATTTTAAGAAAATTAAGCTTAAGAAAATAGATAGTCAAAAGCCATTCTATAATGATTGTATCATTTGACTGAAAAGAATCTAAAATCACAAGATTCTGTTAGATCTCAAACAAAACTGATTATCTTGTTCAAAAGTAAATTCTGCTTTCAGTTATTTAATTCTAAATATATAGGCAGTTGTTTACTGTAAAGAAAAGATTTCAGCATTGTTGTTGGCTCAGAGAACACTGTCCTTCATGTATGAATTAGAGTTTTCTCACCAAAATAGGACATTTTTTACTCCACTCCAACTCTGAATTAATATTATACTCTATCTTAATTTTTATTTCTAATCTGTTCATGCTGGGCTGCCTCGTGCAGTTCTATATAACTACTGCATCTGTGCCATCTTGTGGTCTGCACAAAGCTTGTAATGATTTTTACTTTGGGAATTAATCAGAAGTGCAACAGCCAAGGGGGGATGGCACACCTGTATGCAGAGATCCAATTGCTCTGCTAAGGAGAGGATGCTTCACAGACAGACACATGCCCAAAACAATGTTTCAGGTCTGCAGGCTGCTGGTTGGCAGGCACAGAGAGCAAGGAATGCCAGGATGTCATTGTGGTAATGTCCAGAGCTCTTTTCATCTTCAAATTGTGTTTATTTCCTACCTGGAGTTTCAGTAACTCATAGCAAAACTATATATAAGATTTTCTATATGATCCTTCATTTTCCAACGCAGAGGATTTATAACCAACCCTCTGCCATTGCAATTCAGCTTCAGCTGTGGATCTGAATGTTGGCTGAAGTTCCTTATTGTGGGCTTGCTGCTCTTCTTGCCAGTCTTTTCC